AAACAAGATCCCACCTCTCCAAACTACAAATTATCATAAACAGGTTGTCAAGATCCTAATGCTCGCTTCTTGTGTAAAATGATTTTACAAAAATGTTTTTCAATTATATTAAATATACTCTTTCATTTGGTCTTTTTCCAAACTGTCATACTATATCAACACAGCAATAATATTATGAAATTATTGCCTCAGATTATTTTCTGCCACCGCATATGTTACAGTAATAGGATTTTCTGATATTTACTTAACAATTCCAGCGTTTTTGTGCTCATGGACAAATGTACTACACTCCAGAGCTTTTCTAACGGCGGAAGAATATTTTAAAAGACAGAAAGTTTCCCATTAAGCTTATGTTTCTAACCGGTAATATTTGATAATTCATAACGATTCTTTCAGATGAAAAAAATCAAAACTATTCTTTTCCCATTACGTATGCGCTAGTGCTAGCTTTTGATGAATTTGGTATGTTAAAAGTTTTTGTAAGCTTAATTTTAATGCTTTCCTATGACTATACTTAAATGCTTTAGATTTGTAGCTGCGTGGGCAAAATGACTCGTAGAGGCAGGAATAATTGTTACTTTAGTGATGAAGGAAATTGTTCTACTAAACCGTTATACACTCGAAAAGTCCTTGAAAGTGTAGATATTATGGTGTCGGGAAACCTTGTTTCTGAATTTGATTTAATTGCATCTCATATAAACAGCAACGTATATCGAAAAGTGTGTGACATTGAAGCAGTATGCGAAAATCATAAAGCAAAATACAGTTGCAAATACAGTCCTCCAGTTCAATGTCAGTACCGTGGTTGCAACAGTACGTCGAATCTGTCGAAAGTCGGCGTAGAAGCTTCAAAAGTTCTCTCAACATCAAACATGAAGTATCCAATACGTATGTACCACTGAATATTGCATGATATATGCATGAACGGCTTGAAACACTATGCTTTTGTTTATTATGGGGTTTTGAAACTATGCTTTTCCTTGCTGAGAAAATTAACCAGCGATAATATTATAGCAGCATAATGAATACAGTTTTGGTTCTATGCAGCAAGCGCTCTCAGAAGTTCATCAAAACTTTCTCATTTCTTTTAGTCGGCTATATTTGTAATAAATGTCGTGATGTAGTATCCAAAGAAAATAATCGATCAAATGCAATATTTGAACAGCGTGACGACTCAATATGGGAACTTAGTGTTCAAAATCCCGAAGATGAGTCTAAATTAGACGAATTTTTTACCGAGCCAAACGGCGAACGACAAAAACTGCTTCCCTCTAGAGTATCAGTTGAAAGTCAAAAGTCAGATGATGATATAATTGAGTTAAAAGTATATTCTCGAGAAACTTCAATCGATCGCGAAGTTTATGTTTCATCGACTATGACTGCAGCAGACCTTCGACAAATCATCTTTGGTCAACTTAATTTGCCATATTGTTCACAAAATTATGGACTATTAAGATGTACATCAGAAAAGATAGAGATTATTTCTGAAGAAAATTTGAATAAAACACTGTATGAACTTGAGTTCAAGCGATTATCAACAGTAGTGATTGCACTGTACGAAAATATAAAACGTATTACTCCATCTCAAGATCATATTCGACTGCAAATCTACGTCCAAAATGACCCTGTTACCTCACTGTTAAAAAATCCACTGATAACAGCTGGAGAACTACACTCTGATATAGTCAGCTACTTGAATAAAGCAGCAATAAAGGAACACACAACTCGTTTGTATGTTCATAAAGAAAATACAGATGAAGAGATATCTGAATCAATGTATCAGAAGACATTAAAAGATCTCGGCATCACAGATCAAACAAAAATTATTGTTAAAATACACAATAAACCCAGGCAAACCCATTCGCAGATAACAGCTAATAATAACTCTATTACGCCATTGAGCGTACCACCAATCGTCAGTAAACACGGTGTTAGGTTAAACAATCTATTTCCCGCTTCACCATTCCCCTTCTCTTCAGTTTTTTCTACGAAAACACTCTCGTTGAGTAAGCATGCAGGTTTACGCGGCCTCATAAACCTCGGCAATACGTGTTTTATGAACAGTGCTCTTCAATGTCTGAGCAATATTCGACCGCTGACTATCTACTTTTTGGAAAACATTCAGTCGTTGAATGGTGAGATGTCAGGTGCCTATGCAGATTTTATCTCAAACATATGGGATCATCCGCAAGATAGCTGTTTTGAGCCAAAACTTTTGAAACGTCGTATCAGTCTTTTCGCACCTCAGTTTACGGGCTATGGTCAACATGATGCACAAGAATTTATGAATTTTTTACTCGATGCTCTTCATGAGGATTTAAAACGTTTTAGTAGTGATGATCCACAATCGATTATTGCTGATCTGTTTCATGGTGAAATGCAGTCAGTCGTTCAATGTTCACAGTGTAGTAATAGCGAAGTCTCTACGAATCTCTTCACTTTTCTTCCTTTGCATTTACACCAAAAAAGCAGAGTATTCGATGTCGAATATCGTTCGTTAAACAATGGAGTAAAAAGTTATCGAGTAGAAACAGCCCGAAATGGAAACATATCCAATTTAATCAATGACTTCATCTTCACTTATAAAAGCTCGGCCGATTATCAACGATATCAGAGAAATCTTCCAAGAGCAAACTGCCTTTTGGTAAGTGATAGTCACCAAAAACATGGACACCATAGTCACGGTGAGTTATTGAGAAATATTTTAACTAGTAACGTATTTTTACAAGAAACTTCTTCCATAATTGAAACATGTGATCCAAAAGAATTAACGATATATGAATGTTTAGAAAAGTTCACGGCTCAGGAAATATTGGGTAAGCATGGAAAATGGTACTGCTCGCGATGCGATATACTGAGAAATGCAACTAAAACATTCAACATTGTCTTGCTGCCAAAAGTACTTATTCTTCAACTAAAACGCTTTAGCTACAACGACTCAAACGACAAAATTAATATCTTTGTAGACTGTCCATTGACAGATTTAGATCTGAGCGACTTTACATCTAACAAAACGAAAGCAAAATACGACCTTGCTGCAGTTTCAAATCATAGCGGTACATTAAAATTTGGTCACTATGTAACAAATGCAAAAAATTTTGCGACTGGAAAGTGGTATCAATTTGATGATCAAAAGGTGAATAGCATAATCGAGACTGATGTTATCACAAAAAATGCGTACATTTTGGTTTACATTCAGCAGTAGTCTTGCTGCCAAAACTCTGAAATTTTCAAACACTTATTGCTGTTTTTTGTTGTGTTGTCTAACTATTTTACGTGGTTACTGTAACGAAGCTGCTGATTGTTTTTGTTTCAAAACCTTTCCTTCTCTGCTAAGATGACGATAGAACAGCTGAAATATGAACTGCTTTGCTAGAAAGGCTTTCTACTTAGACAACAGGTTTGAAATTTTCACCCTATTTTGCAAAGAACATAAATATTTTCAACACTTAGCACTATGTGCTCTTACTGAGTATGTAAACTCCTGCCAGTTTTGGACTTTTAGTAAAGCAGTATGTTGTTTATCAGTCGTCACATTCATGGTATATGTTCCAAATGTAATTGTTTTTCTGTGTGTACAGTTTATTCCAAAGTGGTTCGTAAATAAAACTCTTTATATTGTTGCTACACATATTCAACTAATTAGAAAACAGCCCCTGACGAAACAATGAAAATTCGAACGACATCTGAAGAAATCGACGAGAAATTTTTTCATTTCTTATCGGAATAATGTTTGTTTCTAACGTAAGTGACTTGAAAGAAATGAAGAACAATCTTTATCATACAATGTTATTTATTGACTAAAACCTTGAATCTGTGTAGCAACCAGATAAGAAGCTTTTTTCTACGAAACCACTTTAGAGTAAACTGCAGAAAAAGAACAAAAATTACATTTGGAATGTATAAATTTAAATGACGTATATTGTTTTGTAGACAAAAGAACTGAAGGAAAAAAACATGAACAAAAGTAATAATGTCACACACTCAGCAACGGTGTGAAGCAGACTGGCTAGACCATTTCAGCTCAGCTCGATCACGATTTTATGCATGCAACTGCGTAAATAGTTGAATTTGATGAGTAAAAGGTCGTTTTTTACGAAGTTTTATGCATTAAAAGTATTTTCAAATTAACGCGAAACCTTGATGAATTTTACGCATAGAATTGGACTGGAAGATGTCTCGTTCGATTCACAAGTGTCTGCTCTCCACGATGGAATTGTTAAAAACAACATACTGCTGTATTAAAAGTCCTAAGCTGACCACACGTTACGTTATTGTTGAAAGGCGTACGGTGAGAATCACCTTTCTGCATTCTCTTTTCTCCAGTTGTACGAAAAATACGCATCGTTTGAGAAAAACTTTATAATTTATAACCAAAAAAGCTCCAAGTAAAAGCATCAACTAAAACTTCACTTTTACCTTAAGTCCAACCAGAAGTAGTCTGCTATGTTTTCTAAGGATTATGTATTATGGAACAAAAAGCAAGAAAATTCAGATAATTTAGTTATTGTTTTGTTGCTGCAAATATATAAGTACATATGCTCGGTATGTGACAATGTCTTTTTCGTCATTAATGGGTTCTACATGTGTATCATCAAACTGATACCATTGTTCGTTATTGATATTTTTTGCATTAGTTGTATAGTGTCCAGACGCAAGTGTTCCCATATGATCAGAAACAGCGATAAGATCATACTTTTCCGCTTTTCCATCCACCAAAAATTCGCTAAGATCTAAATCTGTTAGAGGAAAATCAACGAATGTCTCAATTTTTCGATTTTGTTCATTATCATCATAGTAAAATCGTTTTAATTGAAGAATAAGTACTTTAGGTAGATGAAACAAATCGAGCTTTTTCGTTGCACTTCTCAATATATTGCAAGTTGAACAGTGCCAATCACCATTTTTTCCTCCTAAATGCTCGACGTTCGTAAAGGCTCGAATACACTCGTTCAGAGTGAGTTTCTTCATTGTTGATGAAGATTTCATGCAAGTAGCAGCAGACTTATTCTGATTTTGCTGTTTTAATACAATGGTATTGTCGTCAAAATCGGTCAGTGGAGTTTGAGAATCGTAAATTCTTGTCGGCTGTTTACGGTCGACTGCTCCCAAATTATTTGCATTTGGTTGATGGTTACTTTTGGGCATTTTTTGCTTGTACACAATAATAAATTGATTAATCAAGTCCCACAAGGTTCCTTCTTCGTCAACTTTGATTTCAGAAAATATTTCGTTTTGGCTGTTCAAACGCACATATTCGACACTAAATGCACGCACACTACCTGTCCACGTTGTTTGAGGGAATGTCAGTGGCACCGGTAGAAAAGTGAATATATTATGAGCGTATTCATGATTAAGACATTCGTCACATTGTATGTCAGACTGCATTATACCATGGAAGAGCTGTGCTACAATTGAACATTCATTATCTGCCTTATTTTCATCTTTCAAATCTTCGTGAAGAGCATCAAGAAGAAAATTGAGAAATTCTTGTGAATCGTGTTGTGAATAATCAGCAAATTGAGGCGCATGACGACTGACTTGATCTTTGATTACTTGTGGTGCATATGGACGATTTGACTTTGGTGACCAAACATTTTCAATAAAATCAGCGTATGCTCTTGCTACATCACCGTTCATTCCTAACGGATTATGATTATTGATATTCTTACGAAAATCTTGTTCTTGAAAGTAGATTGTTAACGGTGGAACATTGCTTAGACATTGAAGAGCGCTATTCATGAAACAGGTGTTACCAATATTTGTGAGTCCGCAGAGACCTGGTCTTGTTTTACTTGATTGTGATCCAACGAATATTTTTACTGTTGAAGCGTCGACCGTACTATGTTTAGGTATTAGAGACACTGGTACTAACTGACCAGTAGATTTGTCAAGAGATTCGCCAACAGGTTTAGCTGTCTTTTTTTTCCTTTGGACGAAAATGATATCGTAGGATTTAATTTCAAAATCTCCGATTGTTTTTTCTGAATCTTCGGTGAGAACTTCATTTTTGCAGACAAGTTGGTAAATGTCCTTACTTTTTGACAACTTCATGCTTTCTAAAACGTCACTTTTAAGCTGAGAAATCTTTAACCCTGGTGTCAAAGGAATTTCAGTTTCAAATCTGCCATTTTCGGCTTTAATGAGCACTGCAAAGCTTGTTTCATGTTTCTCTACTTTGTTGTCTAGCTCCTTATTCTGACTTTTTCTCGGTTTTACGGATGGTTTTTCGTCTTCCTGAACATTCATAGAACTGATTGGTTCAAGAATTAATGTTAATTTACTACTGATACCAAAACTTTCAAGAGTTTGATCATAATATATATCATCGATTACTAAAGATCCATGGGGTTTGTCAATTAGCACTTGAAAGTTTTCTGGCGGGTTGTCGAATAGCTGAGGTACGAGTGTTTGTGCCAAATGATCTTTCAGTTGACGAAGAGTTAGTGCGGGATTCACATCCATAGAAGTAGTTTGACTATTACAAACAATATCGATTGTAATTTCGTTTGCGGTCATCTCTTTCTGATCATCAGTTGTAGGAGTAATAACTTCTGATGAGTCAGACTGCAGAGGTAGATCGTCTTCCATTTTCTCATGCACCTCCATCGACGAAGAAGAAGCATGTTGAACACCTCGACGCCGAACGATGAGAGCTGATTCATAGTGAGCGCCAAGTTCGCTTAGTACCTGATGTGGATCAATCTCCGTAATTTGACTGGATCCGTCTAGTTTCTCTTGACAGATACATATCTCATCGAATCTTACCGATAATTGACAATTATGAATTATTTGTTCTATTAATTGACCGGCAGTTGTTGTTTGCTTGATAATCACGTTTAAATCATTGGACAGTAAACAGAGTTTTACCGGTACGTTGATGTTTTCATTTGATAGAGGCTGAACAATATTATATGATGAACTTTTCTGACCCATATTACTAAATGACGAAGTTATAGCTGCTAAATGAAAAGAAAAATTATTATTAATCTCCTTTTTGTCGATTTTCCGTGTTCTCAAATCGCTTGGTATTTTGCGAGTAAGTCTGTTAAACTTAAGGTTTGAAACAAGGTACTCTAGCTTGTTTAGTAGCCCTGTCAATTCTGCATTTTTCTAAATACAAACTATTCCTAATTTCTATTTGTGAAAGAAACTGTGATTATTTTTATATATCACTATGCATAAAAATCAAGATATCTGTCTAGTCAATAAATCTTTGAGAGCAAACTTCCAAAACAGTATATTCAGTTCACCTTGGAGCCCAGAAAATTCTCTATCTTCCGATGTATAAAACATTCCGATTCTGAGCAGATGTGTAGAAAAAATATTCTTTAAAGCCTTAGGAAATTATGATATCTGTCGGGTATTTCGACAATTGTTCTATATAGGTATATGTTTGAGAAGCTTGTTAATAGCTCATTTTAAAGCGCGAAAAATGTTGTCGTTCAATTTATGGAGTTTTGTCAAGGTCTTTGAAATCGTGCGAAAAACTTGAGGAGCACAGTGACCTTCGTTGAATTGATGACAAAAATGATGAAAAATAACTTTTTCAAGATGATTAGAAGCAATTTTTGAAAGTCAAGAGTGTTGAGAAGTGAAAGGGGAAGCATTTCTCGTAATTTTCGCTCAAAATCGTATTGAACCATTTTCTAGCAGAAACCGTTTCCCGTCCTTTTGTGCATGAAAATACATAAGGTGCCAACACTGGAGAAAAAGGATCAAAGTTGTTCCACACAGGGCATACCCAAGTACATGTATACAAGTAAAAGTAAAAGTACTTGCCATACTTTCAAAAACAAGAATCCTAAGGCACTGTCAGGATTATTTCTTAAGCTTGTAATAGTAGCTTTTAATGGCAATTTACTTGTAAAATTTGTTCTAGTTAATTATACCCACGGCTAATTGGAAACTCTATGAGAAAAACGCTGTCTTTTTTTAATGGAGTGTACAAAAAAGCGTGTAAAAAGAAGTTAAAAAACGAAAGGAAACACCGAAAAAACGCGTTTGAATTAGAAATGAATAATGAAAACGTGTTTTTATGCCTTTCTTTTCTGTTTCGAAGAAGAATGCGTCTTTTTCATTTTCCATAGTCAGCTTTTTAGAAGGCAAGAAACAGAATGCATTTTTTATACTCGTTTATAAAAACAAAAACAGCGAATGTGAAACAGCGGATTGTTTTCTTTGCCACATACGTATTTAGTATTATCTACCTTGTTCGTAACATGTAATATTCTGTAGCAGGAATCGTTGGTTTAAACTATATTTATTTGAAGATAAAGAAATCCTAATAACCCTCGAACTAAAGCGGCAAATTGCCATTACATAGTTCAAGGAGTTATTTACAAGGTGTTACTCTTTTCCATAAGAAAAACA